ACAACAGTCAGAGAACGAATAAGGTTGTACAGGTCCCGTGAGCGAGCAAGGTTTAGCACATGTGTAGCCTCCATATGAAGAGATAGACGATCGATAACAGAATTTCTTTTATTGAGTTTTCCTTTTTCCTATACGTTAAGGGGACCGTCTCTCTCTCTCCTCTCTCTCTCTCTCTCTCTCTCTCTCTCTCTCTCTCTCTCTCTCTCTCTTCTCTCTCTCTCTCTTTTTTTTTTTTTTTTTTTTTTGATCGAAAAAACGAAAAAAAACAGACGGTCCCCTGAAGTCATCATTAAATTTCACGATACAAATCATACTGCTGATAAATGCGATTACTAGCATCAAAGTATTTCAATCGACATTATTTAAATGTTTATAATGATCGTAATAAAGGATTAGATGAATGTAAATTGTGTCAGGTAGAGATTAGGTTTTTACTCTGATAATCATGGCTCCTTCATCAAATTAGTAGGAATAGTAATAGTCAAGATAATGGTCATGCGGAAATGGTAAAATTGTCTATTATCATTATAACAGCAATTACGGTTGCAATGATAGATAATGAAAAGAAGAACAAAATGCAGAATGATAAAAGTCGTTAAAAGAAACAAGAAAAATAGCGGTAAACAATTAAAATAATGACAAACAATATAATGATAACACTAACAATAAAGATAGCATTAATATTGATGATGAAAATAACATGAATTAGAACAATGTGATATTGATAATTATAAGGAAAGATGATAGTAACAATGCCAATACTACCACTCCTACTAATAATAATGGTAATAATGATAATGATAATAACAATGATATAGATATTTATAATAATAATAATAATAATGATAATAGTAATGATAATAATAATAAAATATAACAGCAATGATGATAACAATGAAAATGAAAAAATAATACTAATGATAAAAATAACAAGAATAACAATAATGATAATAATAATAACAAGAATAACAAGAATAATAATGATAATAGTGATAAAGATAATAATAATGATGATAGTAATAACAATAATAATAACAATAATAATAATAATAATAATAATAATAATAATAATAATAATAACAATAATAATAATAATAATGATGATGATAATGATGAGGATGAGGATGAGGATGAGGATGATGATGAGGAGGATAATGATAATAATGATAATAATAACAATAATAATGATAATAATAATATTAATAATATTAATAATAATAATAGTAATATTATTAATAATAATGGTAATGATAAAAATAATAATAATAACAATAATAATAAGAAAATAAGAATAAGAATAATAAAAATAATACGAAAATAGTAATAACAATAAATAAATAAAATAAAATTCTAATAAAAGTAATAATAACGGGTCATCCGAACACCGAAACGGACCGAATCGAAGGCAAAACGAGCTGAAACGGAGCTTGTGGGATTTTTTTTTTTTTCTTTATCTTTGAAAACAATAATTGTATTTTATATAACTATCAAAATCCAAATAATAAAAACTGAGTAAGTATCTGCCCTAAAAATCGATGATTTATGGAGCGCAATTTTCAGTCTCTGGTTCCGTCATGTGTTCGGGCGCGGCCATTTTGGATACAAGATTCGCTTGACTTTGATAATTATATAAAATACAATTCTTTTATTAAAAGGTGAAAATGAGCTCCTACAAGTTCCGTATATTATCATTATTATTGATATTATTATTATTATTATTATTATTATTATTATTATTACTACGACTATTACTACTATTATTATTATTGTTATCATTGTTATTAGTATTATTACTGTTATTATTATCATTATTATTTTAATTATTATTGTTATTATTATTATTATTATTATTATTATTATTATTATTATTATTATTATTATTATTATTATTATTATTAACATCATTGTCAGCTTACGCATCAGAAATAATATTAGTGATTATAATAACAATAATATTGATAAAAAGGATAGTAATAACGAAAATAGAATGATAATGAAAGTGATGATTATTACATAAATAATGGTAATAATAGTAAAAGTAATGGTAATGAGGGTGATGATGACAATGTTAAAATATAATAATGATGATAATTATGATAATGATAATGATAATATGATGATGATAATAATAATGATAATAATAGTAATAATATTAATGATAACATGATAATGATAATAATATAGTAATAATAATGATGATAATAATAATGATAAAAATAATAATAATAATAATAATAATATAATAATAATGATAACATGATAATAATAAATTTGTAATAATAATAATGATAATGATAATAAAAATAATAATGATAATAATAATAATAATAATAATAATAATAATAATAATAATAATAATAATAATAAAAATGATAGTAGTAATAACACTAATGATCACAATAATAATAAGTAATGATAAATAATAATACACTGATAATGGTAATAATCAATTACTAAAATGATAAATAAATGAATAATGTTAATGATGATATCAATATGA